ATGTTCTGTATGCAACTCACTTTCAAAAAACACTTTGTACTTTTCCAGGTACCTTAATTTTTCACCCATGGCATCTTGCCACTTTCTTCTCTCAAAATCAGGAAGTTCCATCACTTCCTCATAATTTCTAGGTTCTGTGTACACATGACAAACCCTTACTTCACCTACTCCAAATCTTTTGGGTGGTACACTTTTGTTTGCCCTCTGAGACCTTCTAGGACCCTGTGTTTCTGGTTCTTTCTCTATTTCACTACCTTCTTCTTCTTCATTTGCATCTTCATCTTCTTCAACCGTGGACCTCGTGTCTTCTTCATGTGTTCCTTCCCATCTCCTCTGGTGTTTAACACACTAGAATCATTTTTTAAAAAATTAACCATCTTTCCTTTTCCTACCAATAATGAGCAATATCATACTGATGGGATACTAGATTTCTAATATTGTATCTTTCTAAATTACAGTGTCATTTCTCTTGATGAATAGCCCTGGTGGCGAAGTGCTCCATTTAGGAAGCCCACCAATCGGGAACATTTTGGGCCAGCCCCTCAATGAACCTTGCCAATTTACAGAGTTATTGTCCTCGCAATTTGCACACACACACACACACACACACAACACAAAAGCAGAGGGAGGCAGTACCAAGCCTCTGACGACGACACACACTGTAATTGCTGGGGTGAAAGAGCTACAAAGAAGCAGCCTCGTCACCACCTACAGTTAGAAATTTGAATTTCCCACCTTTTTCCCCTGCCTTTTTCTGTTCGTAAGTGGAAGCTCCGGTCACAAGTAGAAGCAAGATTTTGCGTCCGGAGCTGGTTGTAACTTGAAGTAGGGCCGTTTGCAAGTTGAGACACCACTGTATTTAATATGGGAAAATCAGTGATCGTGTTTGTGGTTGGAGAGTAGGTCTCAAAGTTTATGTGCCCTAAGTTCTTAGTACTCAGACTTTTGTCTTCAGAAATTCATGACCAGAAAGAAATTCAGGTAAAAAAAAATCCATACTAGGTAAAAACTTAGAAGGAATCTACCATAATACATGTTTTTGGTTTTATTGTTTTTAAATTTGTAAACCACCCAGAGTAGACCCTTGGTCTAGATGGGCGGGATAGAAATCTAATAAATACATAAAATAAACAAATGATACCAGACCAGGCCATAAAAAAGTATGGTGTGGAGGCTGCAAGAAAATCCTTCAAACTCTATAAACACACCATTCATCAGTGTTTTGTTCCTGTTCACTACTTGATTATTATAGTTAAAATACTTCTGATGGCTTATGTGCTTCAGAATTTATGAGAAACCGAAGTGTTCTACAAAAAGAAGTGGTTGATTTCACTTCTTTCAAAACTTTAGTCCCACTTGTAGTTAATAAGCATTTGGATAATGTAGAGCTAACAGATGATAGCATAATTAAAACTTTTTTTCCTACAATGCTATTTTCTTTTTCTATTAAAAACAGTGAAGCTAAGTCTATTGTCCTTGCTCCTTAACTCTTGTAATCTCCCAATTCTTAAAAGCAAATTACTGTATTAAAGTGCAGGATCTCATTGTATGATGCTGTGCGACTTTGGAGATCAAAGCTGTTTTCTGAGCAGTTTTGATTAACTGTGAAGACTTTCTGTTTTCAAAACAATTAAGTATATTAAGATAATGCCAAGATGAATATGGAAGTGACCTTATGTCTGTTATTAGAATTGCAGGAGGTCAAATTCTATCAACAATCAAGATGCATTTGATAAAAGGCCGCAACAGCAGGGATCTCTTCTGTCAAGCAGCCGAGGAAGTTGTACAAGATTTGGATTTGAGGATTAAAAATATTATCAATTTTCAGCATGAGGCAATGGCAGCTAACACCACTGGAATCAGTCCAGCCAGGGTAAGGGGCCTCATTTTGTTCTTCTAAATTGCTTGATAGAAGAGAGAGGATGTTTCCCTAAATGCCCTAATTCTTTTTTTTTTTAAAGTGAGCGTACAAATTTCCTGTAATATGGGTCCATTTAGTGTGTTGAAAGAAAGTATTTGAAGGTCTTGCCAAATGCTTTCTTTTTTGAATTTAATTCTAATAATTTTATGTTACTGTATAGTACACTATTAGATGATTTTGTACTGTTCTAAGACATTGCAATCCATGCAGCCATCGCCTGCTTCTACTTTAGGATTTTTTTTAAATTCTGGTTTTCCTATTCTCATACTAGTGATATGTCTGAGTTTATTCTTGGCTAGTCATCTTGGGAAAATTTTTGCCTTTGTCTTGTAGCATATTATCTTGGTTCTCTTTTGGTTATTGTTATCTCTTCTCTACAAATACCTATAGTGCTTGGCTCCCATTTCCTGGCATAGGACACACCACGTCTAAAGAATGTGCGATATGTGGAAATATGTAAATCTCTTATGTGATATATGCCCTGGTGGTGTTCCCATTCGAGCATTGGTCATCTTTATTTCTGTTGATATGTATTTCTATTCACGTTTTAAGGAAAACCATAGTTCCCAGAAATTAGGTAAAGATTTTGTATTATGTAGAGAAACTTCTCTACATAATACAAGATTTTGTATTATGTACAGAATATTGTTGAAATATTTTCTACAGCCTTCAACTGGGGCCAAGTTAATTTATTTTATTTAAAATATATTTTACCCTGCCTTTCTCCTTAAAAAGGACCTAATGCAGGTTACATCATTAAAAGACAGTAAGTTAAAGGTAAAGGTTTCCCTTGACATTTAGTCCAGTCGTGTCTGACTCTAGGGCACGATGCTCATCCCCGTCTCCAAGCCGTAGAGCCAGCGTTTGTCTGTAGACAGTTTCTGTGGTCACGTGGCCAGTGTGACTAGACACGGAACACTGTTACCTTCCCACCATGGTGCTCAGTCAAAAGGTAGATCAGAAAATAGCTATCCAACTTGAGCTGATAACTAGGCCGTACTTCAGGACTCATCCCTGAACTTGGATGTCCAGTTTTCAGCAGTGACCAGAAGTGTATTTGTACAGTTGAAGTTAGTGAGCCAGCTGTGCCTGTTCCCTGAGGTACCTGATTTAACTCCAGTGACATATTCATTAGTTATACCCTGCTTGGATTACTAAAACATACTCTACATGGGCTGCTTTGAAGAGTGACTGGAAACTCTGGTTAGTCCCAAATGTTGCAGCCGGACTGTTGACCAGAGACAGTTACAAGAAGCATATACTGTAACAGCTTTGCTAGCTTCAGGTCCATTTCTGAACAGAGTTCAAAGTGGTGGTTATTATCCATAAAACCCTGTATGGCTTGGGCCAGACTATCTCCCCATGCTGCCCTCCCTGACTCTTAAGATCTTCAGAAGAGGCCCTTATCTTCATCTTGCTGTTTTTATGGGCATATTTGGTAACGGCATGAGAGAAGAGAGAGTTCTCAGTGACTGCTGCTAGGTTATGGAGTGCCCTTCCTCAGAAGACTAGGTTAGCCCTCTCACTTCTGTTCTGCAAGACGTCGTTTTCTAGACAGGGTTTTTACAACTGAATTGAGCAATGAAGAATTTTTTATTTTGGAATACTGAATGTTATTGTAAATGTTTTAATGTGTATTTTGTTTTTAAGTTGCTTTTAACTGTGTAAACTGTTTTATAATAATATGTTTAATTGATGTTTAATGTAGTAACTTATTGTGTTTTTAGTTGGTTTGTTTTTTCTCAATAATTTGTGAGCTGCCTTGGGTCCCTTTATGGGGAAAAAGGTGGGATAAAAATGAAATGAAATAAATAAATTAACAAATAAATAATAAATATATTCTGATTCTTCCTGTATGATAAAGCTGATCATATAGTGGATATTTAATTTCAGCCTAAACTACATTCTATAAACCATGGCACAGCATACTGCGGCAGAGATACTGTGAAGTCTTTATTGGCTCTCCTTGATGAAGCAGCTACCCACCCTCCAACCAAAAATAAAGCTCAGTTGTTGTTCAGTGAAGAATTTGGATTTCCTTCTTCCTTCATTCTGTTTAGGTGTGTACTAAATGTTAAAAATTTCAGTGAGTGTTGCAGAAGGGGTAAGAATAAGAGTGTTTATTCAAGACATGATTGCTTGATCTTTCTATTGGGGGCTAGATTTCTTTGCAAGTCATTACTATAGTGCTCTTGACGTGGGGCTTTGCTTGAGACTGACCTGGAGTTTATGGCAGGTCCAGAATGCAGTGGCCAGACTGGCGGCTGATGCGAGCCAATTTGATCATATCACTGCATTGCCGGCCTGCCTCCACTGGTTACCCGTTGTGTCTCGCATCAGGTTCAGCGTTCTGACACTCATGTATAAAGCCATTTTGGAACCACAGTATCTGTTGGAGTGTCTTTCTCCACTGCCTTCTGCCTGATCCACCAGAGCCACCCTGAGAGAGACCTGAAATTCATCTACTAGAGGTAGCGCCTTTTTGATGGTGGCACCTACATTATGGAATCAACTCCCAGAGGAGCTACACCTGGCCCCCTTTCTGTATTCATTTATGAGGCAGTTAAAAACACTACTGTTCATGGAGCCCTTTAACATCGACTCTGGTTGAATGCCTCACCTCCAGTCTTGTCTTTCTTCAAAAATTGGTTGCGGTCTTGTTTACATTTTTAGACCATGTTTTTGTTATTTATGTTATATTTACTTTTGTGTAGTTTATTTTAACTGTCTGTAAAATGCCCAGAATAGTTCTTCGGCACTAATGGGGTGGTAGGTATATACCGGTAAATCAAAGTAATAAATAAATATTTTTTAAAAAATAAGTCATCTGTCAATTGCTACATTGGGGGACAGGGCAGGAGATTAGAATGATAGAGACCATACCTTTTCTGCCACCCCAGTTTTTCTCTCTCTTTCTCTTGCTCTCCACTCAGCAGCTGCTAGCAGATGGATAGCTCTTTTTAAAATTTTGGTTGAGGACTATAGATTGCCAAAATCTTTTATGCAAAGATCATTATGCTTTTGGTATGGCTTTTTAAAATCCTTTTTCATTGTTGTTAGCTTTTGTCTTGGGTCCTTTTAAGGAGAAAGGTGAGGTGAAATATTTTAAATAAACAAATGCATTCTCTGTGTAAGGAACAATGAGCACGGTCTCATTGGGCAAGCATGAAGTGTGTCCAGAAAACCAGTCCATCCATTGATTCTTGACTTATTTATTATTTTATTTAATTAATTTATTTAAAATATTTCTATGCCATCTCTCTCCCCTAAAGGACCTAAGGCAGCTTACATCACTAAAACAGTATTTAAAAACTTAAACAGTAAATATACAAATATTAACTGAAATCAATATTAAAACACGTTTAAAACAACAGAGCACAACAGTCCAAATAACAGAGCTCGACAGTCTTTCCACAAAGTCCATTAGGTGGAATGACTTGAGAAAGTGAGGGAATTCTGAATCCACACAAAAAAGTTTTATGGCATGCTGTACAACCAAAAAAATATGTACAGTACTTGCTTCTTCTTTCATCATGATGATGACAATCACTGGGAAAGAAAGAGGCATTAAAGAAAGTTATAATGAGTGTGAAAGATGGTTGTTATCAGAGCTCCTCATGTGTTGCTGAGTAAAGGCTGCAAATTTAAGAAAACCAGATGTCACAATAGCTAGTAATTTAATGGTGTCATTCTGCTATGTGAATGATACACTTTTGAAAACTAGTTGCAGACTGTAGTCAAGGAGACTGCTCAGTAATTTTCACATGCACAGCCAATTATGCACAAGTAGTAGTAGTATGGTAACAGACTAAAAGAGCAATTATGTAATAGAACTCTGTTATTACACTGTTTTAGTCTGCTATTAATGTTACTGTACCTTGGATTTATTGTTTTACAAACAATAACCTTCAGCAAAATATTTATCAAATTTGTGGTTTTGCTGAGTGAGCAGCAGAGAAAGGAGGAAACATACTTAAACCAAGATTGGGTGAGCTTTTTTTCTAATGTTCAGATGATCCTATTCAAAATGTAATCCGCAGATTACCTGCCTATAGAAACATTCATTTTGTTCTGGGAACCTATTTGCATAAACTATCTTTTGTCAGCATGTGATTTTGCTTCCTTCTGTAAAATGAATGAAAATCCCACGGAGGCAAAAATTCCTTGTAATTTAAAATACATATTGAATCACTTCAATCAGAGTGATTGCCATGGTACAGTCTTTGGGGTAGGTAGCTATCTCATGTGCAAAAAAACTGCATCAGTTTTTTTAAAAAAAATTTAACATTTGGCTGTTCAAAATCTGAGCATAAAACTCTGAGAACCTTAGTTATCTATTTCATTTATTACCACTGTTCATAGTTCACATTTATGTTAATCCAGATCTCCAACACAAACCAAGGAATCTTCACCAAAAGCATTAAGGAAGCGGATCCAAACAGCAGTGCGTGAAAAAGAACTCAAGGTATGTAACAGCAAAATCCCTCATTGAGAATAAATATACAGTGGTGCCCCATATAGCGTGGTTAATCCGTTCCGGATTAACCCTCGCTATACGGAATCATCGCTAAACGGGTAGGGGAAATGTATTGGAACGCATTAAACTTCGTTTAATGCGTTCCAATACCTTTGTTACTTACCCGTTCAG